AATATACACTTAAAGCTGAGTGCCAGCAAATGCTCACATGCCACTCTGACTGCAGGTTTTTTGTGCACCTGGCATTCCGGCTCAAACCCTCTTAACAAAGAGAAGGGAAAAAACTGAAGGCAACACAAACATAGGAGGTGTTCCTGTGCTGTCAGCTCGCAGCTATAGATTCACTTTTTTGTGATGTGAATCTATTCTGTTATTTCTTTTTTTATTATTTGCTACACCTGTTCACTATATTGAGTTCAGTTGATTTTTACAGGAAAAATACAGGCTTGTGACTGTCATTCATGTACTGATTCTTCGAATTGAGACCGCTTGTTTTATTCAGTGGAATATGGCAATCATAGCTATACATAATTTCTACAGAAAATGGTGCTTTCTTTCTTGCTTGAAAAATGGTCAGCTTACTGCCCAAGTTATCTACTGTATTTATCTTAGAAACTCACAGAGACAGTTGCCGAACTGTTACATGGACACTTTGTAATGTTATTAGGTTACTTATGGTAGAGATTTTAATAAAGGATTATGTGATTTAAAAAAATATAATTGATAGACTTCAGTAGGTCTTACTAATTTACTTCAAAATCTTTACCTTGCATGTTCTTCTTGATAAATTCTTACAGACTTTTGGAAAGAATAGCTTCTTAATCACTCGTAATGCACTTCAAATAGTCCTATCATTTGAAATAATTGTTCTTAAAGTGGCATTTCTGTTGCCCCGATATTCTACCTGAGCTTATTTATAGTATATTCTCCTCATTCTACTGACAAGAGCAAGTGGTTATACTGTCGATAGACCTGCAAACCGAAAGCCAGCAATGCATAGTAGAGACTGAGTTCCAGGTGATGTATACCCGAGTGAGTGAGTCAGCTAGGTCACTAATAGAACCACTTTGGTTTGAAAAGACCTTTAAGGTCATTGAGACCAACTGTTAAGCCAGCACTGCCAAGTCTACCACTAAACCGTGTCAGTAAGTCCTGCATCTACACCTCGTTTAAATACCTCCACTGCTTCCCTGTACAGCCTCTTACAGTGCTTGACAACCCTTTTGGTGAAGATGCTTTTCCTAATAAATTTTGCTGGAACCTGTCCAAGGAAAAGCAATGAAGCTGGTGAAGAGTCTAGAGAGATGCGTTCTCGGTGCTCTTTAAGGTGCCCCTGTATATGGTAGGTTCTCATTTGTCCATTTAGAAGTTTTTGTGTCATCTTTAAATATCTTTAATTCTCTGTATTTCTCCTCTGGTTTTTGCTTCTATTCATTCGTGGCTTCCTCCAGGGTCCATGCTTGGACCAGCACAATGGACTAGTTCTGAACCTGCGTGTTCCTCCCTCTGTTTCTACCCCACTAAAAGAAACCTCAGAGCTGAAAACCAAGGTTAGAGAAATGTTTTATAGATACAACTGAGAATAATTCTAGTTCATTGTCTTTTTTATTCAAATATATTTTAGCTACAGACTGCAAACGCAGGTGCTGTGGGTTAAACTCTCACACTGTTAACATCTGTAGGAATCTTGCTGTTCACAGTAACAGCACTGTATTTTACTATAACCTTAGCTTTTGTCCTCAGAGTGCAAGACTTTTCAACCTAATGATTTTGGGCTGTTTCTTAAGCATGTTTTGTACATGCAGAACTACAAGTGAAGTCTGTCAGGACCTTGCCTGCGTTAAGATTGTAAGATCTGATCAGTTACTAGTTCATCTCTTGCAGTACAAAGCCCTGTGTGCTGGAGTCAATCTGTAAATGCGTCTCCTCTGCCAGCGCTGTGAATTAACACTGCAGAGCACACAAGTTGCATTTAAGAAGAATTTGCACAGATTATAATGCTGTGTGCATAAAACTGGTGCACTGTTTGTCTGTTTGTAGGAAGTTTTAAGGACTGGATGTTTGTTTAAGCTCTGCTCTGAATCCCTGAGCAAAAATTACTGGGATTGCAGTAAAGAATTCTGCAGTAAAGAGCTCCCCACATGTCTTTCTCTTCAAACCCCCCTGAAGATTATTTGAACTATTTTTTAATATCTCCTTGTTTCCATGCAAGACTTTCAGATCTGATCAAGTCTTATTAACTCCATATGTTGCAAGGAGCACTCTGAGTTTGTTTGTTTGTTTAAGCCTCAGTTAAAAGAAGTTGGATCTTTAAATACTGTACAGCAAGCCTGGAAGAGCTCCATGGAGGGGGAAGCACAGCTGTTCGATCATGGTCCGTCATGGTTTCCATGTGTCCCATAGGCATTATCTTTCTTAAACTCATCTTGCAAAATTACCCAGTTCCTTATGCTTGTGTGTCTTTAGACTTACGGTAATAGTTGGGTGTTTGGATTTTTATTTTTTTTCCTTTTTTTGGTCTTTTTTTCCTCTTCACCTGGCCTGCATCTTACAGGTCTGTCATGGCATGCTCTTGTCTCATCCAATCCCTCATAAGTGTAAAAGTCCCTTTTCTTTGGCACCTCTACCTTCCAACTTTAGTTTTCAGTTAAAGCATTAGCAGAAAAACACAAATTGCTAAAGAAGTTGTTGGCTGGCTTCTGACTCCCAATAGTTATATTTTCTTTGGGGTTACACCCTGGAAAGTACTGAGTAGCCGTCAAAGGCATGCTGGAACTTAGTCTTCTGTCTAACATGACCTCCCTGAAAGGAATAAAAAAAGCCCCATTCGCATTCAGTGACATTAATGAGAGTTTTTCCCCCCTGCAAACGTATTGTAACTGTGAAATAACATTAAAGTTTCTCTGCCTTGTTATGAAGTCTTTAAATGTCAATGCCATTTCTGAGACCATCAGGGCAGATTTAATGGTGGCCAAGGTCAACTAATGCTAACTGGTACCTCTCTTTTAGGGCCTTCAGGGACTTTTAATAGAGTCTCAGCCATGAAGTTAATTTGCGATGTGGACCTTTATTCTTAAACCTGCTACTGATGATTATTTTGTACCATCTTCATTTGTGTGCTTAGCTTTCTTAACACTCTCTTGTCTCTTCAGTCAATAAACCAAACTGCTAAAATCCAGAATTTCTCAGATATTTCATCTTTCGAGTCTTCTCTCTTTTTCTCCTTTTCACTTCTGTTTATGGGCTGCAGAAGGATAGGTGTGTGCTTTCTGTAGGCTGCCCTAAGCTGCCAGCTGTGGTAGGATCCTCTAAGAATACTTCCAGGTCTGCCACCTTCTGCTGTCCTGGAGGCTGGGAAACTGGCCATTTTGAAAGCCTTTCTCTGTCAGTGCCCTAAATGCTTCTTTAACAGAAGTAGGCGAGGTATGAAATGAGAGACAACACATAACCATGGGATTCTCTTACTTTCCCTTTTTTGTAGTATTTCTTCCTGTTACTGCTCATCCCTTTATGCATTGTCCAATTTAGATTAAAAGGGCTTTGTAGGCTTTATTTGTCTACAAAATACTGCAGACAGGGATGGCATGCTACAAATAATAAATAACCAAACTCCGTCTTTTTCTGGTCAGTTGCCCTGCCAGCCCCTCTGACTTTAAAATATTTTAGTGTCCTGCACTTTTCACCCAGTGCAAGCACCAGGCTTTGCTCAGACATTTAGCACTGACATTAATGCAAATGCCTCCAACTCACTGGGCTCTTTAAGCAAACTGTGACATCCTTGGCTTTCAATCACATAGCAGCGAGGATATATTTGTAGCCACAAAACTGGAAATGATAAAATATCAGTATTCAGGTGCTAATCCACGTTAATTTACATTCTGTGAAGTCTACAAGAAACTTGTAATTGGTTGTCTTGAAGGGCAGCAGAGTATATTTGGTATTTTGTTTATTTATAAAAAATAATTTAAATTATACATATAAACACTGCATAGATTTAGATTATATCTCTCTTCTAATCATTGCTGGACGCTTGCTTGCATTCCTAAGTCCTAGTCTTTTGAGACTTGCTGACTGTCTTCCACTCTATGTGGTAATACCTGTCTATTGTAAGCATGGACAGAGTGCAAATAAGACCTTTCTTTCCATCAGTGGATACCAAATTTCCCTGCTAAACCACTTTCACTGCAGCAGTTTTGCTATCTTTAACAAACCCGTCTTCTGTAATTAAAAGAATTAGATCTTTGTGAAAGGTCCCAAAGGCTGGAGGAGTTTAAATTTGGTACATTATTGAAATTAATGCACAGGTCTAGCAAAAGAAATGTGAGTACCTGATTCACTGCTGCTCTGATGTGCATGAAAACTCAAATGTTTAACTGCCTACATGAACCATAGTGCAAAAATACTCGGGGATGTAAGTAGGATTTTGATGTCTCTTACATAATATCCATGAGTATAACAAAACCACTAGAATTTGCTTGCACTGGGTTGACAAATGTGAGTTACAGTTGCTTTCTTTCTTCAGAGTTTTATCAGAGTATAATCACTTGCCCAGCTTAATTGAAAAATCACTTACGTTTATAGCTGAACTTAAACATGTTTTGTATTTAAATGACAGCTTTTGATGTACAACCATTTTTTACAGAAAGTAGTTGGTTTTTATCTGTGTTTCTGTAAAGATATTTCAGAAACTCTCATCAAATTTCCAGCGGTAAGTAATATCCCATTCAGTGCAAGGTGAAATGTTTTACATCAAATCTCCTGCTGTGTAATGGCCAATCAAAGAGTATTTATAGTGGCTGAATGGATTTTTTGGCTCAGTATTCAAAATTAAACATTTTCAAACCTTAACATTTAATGTTTTTTGCCACTCTTCAAGTTGATTTTATGTAACCCTAGATGCTCACAACTACTTGATACTCTGAAGTGACTCATTTTATGCTGAAGATCCTGCAGGCAGTAGTTTTACATTTATTACAATTGTGTAGATGGAATGAAATGTAGATTTGATAGCAGATTCGTGTCTGTCTTCTGATAAACATTTTCTTGTGTTTGGCTGTATGTCCATCTGCATGATGCAGCAAGTTATTTCTGAGGGAACGCATTTACCAAGTTAAATTAATGAGCAAAGGTAAATTTTGGTAATTCATAGGAAATTGTTTCTCTTATTGCAGGTATCCAGTAAGAAGAGCTTATGCCAGCAACCATCTTTGGAACTGGATGGTTCCTACTTGGGTGTTAGGGGATCTCAAACTTTTTATAAGAACAGTAAAGCATCAAAGGCTGGAAGCCCAGCCCATGTTGCATTGCCTCGGCCTTGCAGAAATAACCACGATTGTGGGACTGAAATGCACTTCAACCATCAAGAGTCTCTGAAGGAATATCCAGTAGAAAATGGCTTGCACAGGAAGTGTAATAACATGATTTCCCCAGCGAAGCAGAGAAGCCCTCGCCATGTAAAACCACCTCAGGAGGTGGACCAGAAAGCAAGTGAATTTCACTACCCTCAACAAGTCAGTCAGGGTTGTGCCTGCAGGCACGGAGGATGTTCAGGGAGCATGCAGGAGAGCCACCAGGTCAGCCAGGTACTTAGAAAACACTCTGGACCAGTTCACAGCACCTGTGATGATTCTCGGCACTCTGAAGTTTCTGGGCTGAATGACAGTGTGGACTCAAGGCCTAAAGAAACAGAGAACGCTAAAAGGTTTTATGAAGAAAGAAGGCAGAAGCTGCTTCTGCAGAAAATGGAGCTGGAAATTGAAAAGGAACGACTCCAGCATTTATTGGCTGAGCAAGAAGCAAAACTGCTCCTAAAACAACAGCAGCTACACCAATCCCGTGTGGATTATAACAGGTGATTTTGAAATTCCTAATTTATAACATATTTCTAAAATTCCTAATGAAACACAGGCCATAGTTAATTAAAGTGGGAGAATGGAACTGATAAAATAAGTAAGACCTGTGGCACAAATTAACTGTGATTTAGAGGAGAGTAGACTTACTAGTGTGTTAGCATAGAGTGTTGGGAAACAGCATGACAGCTGTGGAAAACAGCAGAGGAAAACAGTGAGGGGTAGAAAGAAAGGCGCAAGAAAAGCAGTGCTAAAAGGCTAGGTAAGGGAAAGTGAAGCATCAGAAGAAAATGAGAGGTAGATCTTAGTGCAGGTATTGAAGGAATAGACATTTGGCAAGAGAGCAGTGTGAGCATGGATGACAGATGTGGCATTTCCCCTTCTTTCTTTGGAGAGGTCAATTTCAAAAGTATTGCATCTTCCTAGGCAGCGATGGGACAAAGTGTATTTTACAGAAAAGGAGATAATTTTATGTATATGTGAAATATATATATGGAAATGGAATGAAGCTCTGTGTAGCGAGGACGTTTTCTTTCCAGTGATGTTTGTGGAAGGGAGAATGTCAAGGCTGAGGCACAATACATGACTGAAACTAGAAGAAGAGAAAGGTGACAACCCTAGAAATACGAGATGTGGCTTGAAAGGCCTATGAGCTACTTGCAGAGGTGAGGTAACATCTTACTGACAATGTAAATGGTGTGTCTGGGAAAGAGGGAGAAACTAGTTTATTAGTATCATGTTGCTAGAGTGGAGAAGATGAGTTAAAGGGAGCAAGTTAAAGCAAGTTGAATAAGCCAGTGTAACTCAGTCGTGTACTAGCATTTCAGCATTAGGAAGGGAAAGAAATGGGGAAAACTCTAGCAGGCTTTTGGAAGAAGCTATAGGAGGGTTTCACAGGGATGCTTATTTTGATACTGTTTCAATATGGCAACTGCTGACAACATCCCATGAGACTCTGCGTTACATGACCCACTCCACTGCATACATTCATAATACTATAACCACCATGGAGAAATATATTACTTTTTCTTCTTAATCCCAGCCCCCTGATTACTTTTCAAACTATGACAGAGAATACTGAAAATTAGGTGAGGTTTTTTTTGTTGTTGTCTTGTGGCTTACATTGAAAAATAAGGTGTTTATATGGCTTTAAAAATACCTGTCTTAAAGGCAATCACAATCTTGTGTGTTGAAAATGACTGAGGTTGCAAAAAAAGGATTATGACTTCAGGTGAGAATTAAGTAGGAACAGATGGATTCTTAATCATCAAATACCTTAATTCTATGCATGCATCTCTCTAATGAAAAACAAGTGGAATATGAAGGACACACAGACTGAGGATTTTGGTGATTTTGTTTCTGATGGATGTGTTTCAGCATTTGAGCCCAGAAAAAAATGGACATACGATAGACGCCTATGATGATGTGCTTGTTAATGCCATTATGCCTATTTTAGCCTTTCCCCTCCCCCCCGAAAAACACTTCAAGGTTTACAGAGCTCTAGTTACCTAAAGGAATTCTGTGAAAGAAAATCATATGTGATCAATCTGAGGATTCAGTGTTTTTGTGATCTCTCTTCAGAGGTGCAGGTGAAAGCACATTTGCCATATTCAGTCTAAGAAAAGCATCTAAAAAATAGCGCACTTGCTCTTGAAAATATTCAGTGTCTTTAGAATTAAATGGATGATACTTACAGGTGAATCTCTTGGCCATCACAGTTCTGTTTCAGTTCTAGGTGTATAACTCGATTACAGGATCATTTTATATACCACAAACAATAAGAATTTGTTTAGCTAAGCTCAAATACCCTTTACTTCATTGTTAGGAGGCTTTAATCTAGTTCATGCCTTAATATCCTGACAGTTTAAAAAAATATTACAACAAAAATCCATTTCCAGATAGTGTTTATTTTTGTCTGTCCTTCTGCATGGGTAGAGTGCTGGTTAAGGTCCATTCTGAGCTACTGAAAGTATTGTCATTGAATGACAAGTAAAGGTCTGACCATTTGTAATTATTAGCTATTAACTCTTCTGCTTTTTTCGCAGAAGTACAAACTGATCCTTTTTTTGGCCACACTGCATCATAACTGCATTTTAATTTTCCACATTTCCCTATTTAGCCTCAAGTAAGCATAGTGCTTTGAGTTTGCAGTTTCTCCGCATGAAATAGTTGCTTAGCTGTCAAAAATGGTGTGTGTGCTGGGAAAGGGGCAGTTCGGTGACTCCATGTGATGCCAGCCACACCATAGGAGACAACTATGGGTAAATCCTGGAAATAGGAATGTTATTCAAATAAAAAGGAGAGGTACCTCTACTGTTGACTTTTCTGTCTTCATTGGAGAGAAGGAAAAAGGTGGGGTAATGTTGTAAAAATGGAGCATCATGTGGGCACATGGTTTCAGGAGACACAACCATCTCAAATGAATTTATGCAGTTTACACAGGATTCCTTTGAGCTCTTGTGCAGCTGGAGCTATAAACTGAGCCCAACAGGGATGTTTATTACTGGATACTGAGACCATTTTCTTAAGGGAGCTGGTCCTTGGAAATCAGTAAGTGAAATTTTTCTAATCTTTTTCCCAATGGTGACCCTTAGAAGCAAAGGCACTGGACATAAGTCAACCTTCCAGTACAAAAATGTATTTGAAAGTGTGCAAACAGTTGTGAAAGCTGCATTTAATGTGATGAAGTGCTCTGTTTGCAGGCACACAACTCACCTTTTTGTGGAAAGTTTCTGGTGTGATGATTTGACCAGCTGCAGAAACAGCTAACTCTGCTTTTTCAGGTTTAGAGGCCATGTACCTGTTTCAGAAGATGTGCCCATTGATGAAGCACCTGGAGAACTTGCTGTGATGATGAACAGCAAGAGCATGGGGCTAAGGTAATTTGTCTTTTCACTTCTAAGTACTTCACAGGGTCGGTATATCTTCTTGACAGTGGTGCTGTTGGCTGCCAAGTGTATTTGTTCATGTGTTTGTTTCAGATTAGAAGCTTTTTTCTGCAGGAAAGGTAAAATTCATTGGCTGTTGCATTTTATGAGTCAACTTAGGAGTTATGCTGACCTGTTACTATTCAAAGTTTAGGGATTGACTCTCTTTAGAGGTCTGTAGGTGTTTTGTGTGTCATCTCTTAAGGACACTAACCTAGCCCAGTGCAAAATGGAGTTTTCACAAAATCTTAGCTTTTGTTCTTTATTCTAGGTACTGCTTGTTATTTTTTTCAATTAAGATCAGAACATTTCTTTAGTTTGGATTTGGACCTGATGTAAAAAATACGTTACCCTTTAACTCCCAGATAAAAATGATCTTTTATACTTGGTGACAGTTACTTGTTTTTTAAACAATGCTGAGTTGCACCTCTGCGACTCAGTGTGATCGCAGCAAACGACCACTGCAATAACTGGAATTAGAGTTAAGCCAGTTTCTAGCTCTTTATCTCAGTTTTGCTTGCTATTTAAAACTTTAATCAATACATTATTGTGTTGTCTTTCTGTCCTATCCATTTCCTGTTAACACTGGAAGAATATTCAGGCTTACTAGAAAAGCAACAAATAAAAACTGTGTATTTGGCAGGGGTTTTCTCCTTCAAGAATATCATCTTCTTGTTCTATGCTTTAACTATAGATGTTCGTTTGAACAACATATCCTCAGGTGGACAGCTGTCATTTGAATGCCCCTTCTTTAGGTACTTCAAAATAATAAGCTTTACTCTCCGTTAGGAGAATACTGGATGAAATGTTAATTTATTTATAAACTAAGCATCCAGTGCTTTCTTTTTTTAGTATTTTTTTTAATCATGTGATATGGATTTTATTTTATTTCTTGAGATTCCTCCTCACTGAAAAGGGATAATACTCTTTCTCCATAACAACAGGAGTTGTTAGTCCTTGGAATACTTCACTGCTTAACCAGGTGTTTGGCTGCTGTGAGTTACTGGCATATCCTCATTACATTCTGATGCTTTTTTGCTTTGTTTTCACACAGACTGAAGTGATCAAAGTGTGATCATTGCTATGTTTAAAACACAGTAGCATTAAGTGCCTTGGAGGAAAAATGTAACCTAGAACATCTGTAGGGCTTCTAGGCAACAGTTTACCAAAAACCTGCAGAAATCTACATATCCTAAGCAGGGCAGATGAGGAAAACCTGTGCCATTAACAAAATGAGAGTTCCGGATTTCAGAAGTTCCCCACCCTCTCTTCATTCCCCTGGTTTAATTTACTGTAATTTTTCAAAGTGAGTATGTGATCGTGCAGTCTCAAGTTGCCATGCCAGCTGGTTCCGAAGTTTGGCAGCAAAACACTTGGAAGTTTTTCTTCCTGTATGCCATCTTCAGTTTTGCAAAGGTTACCAGATGAATGCTCCCTAAATAATTTACTCTAATGTAGGGCTGAAAGAGGCTACGGAAGACAGGTACATTTGTCTCTTCTATGCATTTGAATATGTGTTTTCTTCAGTATCGAGGGAGAGTGTGCAAGTGTGTGGCTTGAGCTTAGGAGGAAGAACTGGTAGGAGTACGTCTTCTGTTTTTAACAGTGTCTTTTGGAGGGTTTATTATTATGTTTTTAGTTGTTATTTGTTTTCTAATTGACCTGCCAAATGGTTCTTGTTACTGCAAACGTTATCAGAACCCTAATAGAAAACCAGCCTTCTTTGACTTCCAGTTCATACATAAGAGCTCCTCTAGCAAACCTCACAGCATGAAACTTGATTTCAGTCTTCAAATAAGCTGATCTTAGCTTAAAATTATCCTGGTATTTTAAAGGAAATGGTGAAAGTCCTTTAAAATACTAAACTTGCTGAAGTGAGATACTGGAGTTTAGAAGTAAAATAAATAATATAATCAAGAACTGAAAAACATAGGGTTTTTTATAATTAACAGCTCATTTTGAGTTAATTATCTACAATTACGAAAATCTAATTGCAATTTATTCTCTGGTATCTGCGGGAAGAATTGTAGGCAAGGGAATGTGCATCACTGCCAGGCATAAATGCTATAGGATGGGTAGAAATAATAGAGGAGCCCTTAATGAAAAACAAAAAGCAAATAGGAGTGTGCAGCTGTGCCAGGGTATTGAAAGGTAATTGTAGTCAGAAATGAGATACGTACTTTAAAAGTCATCTTGTCATCTCCTGTAGGGATTAATTTTTTCCCTCCTTGAAAAAGGGGGGAAAAAGATTCCACAAACAAATACAATACAGAGGTTGATTTCTGGTACAGAATTTGGTCATTGTCTGTGAAAAAGGGAACTTTTATCTCAAAAAAAGCATAGCCAAATTTTCTAACAGATGCCTGTTTCATTTTCTCTCCTGAATGTGCCATTATGTTTTTTTCATTATCAAAGTCAGCTAGCGTTGTCCATCTCAGCCTCTTTGGATGATCCTGGTATGAATTTGCAGTATTTGCAAGTGTTGAATTTGTCACTTCCCTGCTGGGTATGTTGAGGAGCTGTTGGGAAGAAATGTGTCTGTCCCTTTGCTTGCTGCAGCTGGGCCAGTGTGTGGGACCTGAAGAGTCTTCAGATGCAGGATCTTCAGTTCTCTAAGGTGCGGCAGTCAGAGCAGGTTTTATTGAGGATGGTTTTCAGTCGCTTGGAGTGCTCCTAAGTGAGCCCACAGCCAATTTTCAGCTATAGAGATAGTAACTTGTACCGTTAATGGCAAGTTGTTTGCCTGTATAATTTCTTTTCAAATCTGCCCCAGTGTGCAAGATGCTTTAAAATATTCAAAATAAAAACATAACCTGATGCATTTGTTTAGCATAAAACAGCCTTTTACAAAGCGCTTTCCATCTCCCAGACGCAGATGCTTGGTACATGCTCAAGTACCCACTCCATGCGTATTCAGTAGGATCAATACACCCGGCACCTGCTTTTGTGTGTGCTCCTGATGTCTGCATCTGGGAGAGGAATTTCAAAACAATCCACTCTGTTCACCTTTATTTAATCTCAATGATGGATCTGAATGTCATGGAAATCAGCCTTTTTTAATAGCACCAACTATAGAAGGTGCTGTTTGTTACTTTGCAAGCCCCCCTTCCAGCAGTTGTGCTTTGTGCCTAAATCTTAACACACGAGATGCCGTGCTTTTTGCCCTGCTGTACGGCTCTGCCAATACAGCTTTCTACTGCCCTCCTCTCTAACCTGCATCTTTTCCTGAGATTTCACACAACACTGCCACTGCACCTTGACGCTGACCTGTGCAAAACATTATAAATAGGAATACAGCAGCTATCAGATGGGTTTACAGTTATCTGCAGGCACTCTTTCAATGTGTGCTACCTGGTTGAAGGAGTATTAAAGATTTGCAGGTGGAACTTGCCACCTTTAATCCATTGAAGGCTTTTTTACGTTTGTGTGCTTCATTCTCTATCACCCGCGTATATTTTTTTTCCAGTTTGTATTTTTAGTTAGTTGAAAATATCAAACGCAGAATTCAGCAGTACTTTCCCCCACTATCTGAATGCACATTGCTATGGTGATAGTTCCAGGAGGGAATGCTGTCAGGGGTCTTTTAAAAGATTTTTATGTTTATGGTGTAACTATTTTTATTATCTTGTGAGAGAAGGTGACAATTATCTCTTGCTCCTTGTTTAATGCTTTGTTATGAACTCGATTTTTTCTGAGGCTTGTTAGACATGCAGTCATCTTTCTATGGTGATGTGCAAGCATACTTCAGTGTTTTTGTCCAAATATCCAATGCAATTAAATAGACAGAGGAACGCAGACTCGCAGCTCCCCCTGCTGTCCCAGGCATATCCAAGATTGTTCTCACAATGCCCCCCTCCAACTAATTTAAAAAGTAAAATAAAAATCACATGCAGTCACGCAGCTCTTCCACCTCTGACCTGACTTGCACCATCCCCATTACTCCTGTGTTTGAAGGGAATTGATAATTAAAAACCAGTGGCAATGGTAGCACCCATTCTGTTTCCTATTTGGAATGTTATTGTCAGTTCTTCATACCAGCGTGTGTCACCTCCTGTTACTCTTGTCCTGAGTCTCTGGAGGAGAAACGGTCACCAGTGCCATAAGTGGCTTGTTGTCCAAGACCTCCCAGGCTCCAGTTCATCTGTGAGATGTCCTTGATCTGTTTAGTAGTTGGCCAACTTTTGGGAATGTGTTGAATACTATTTGCTGGGATTTTTATTTTTCATCTCTTTGCTGTTTTGGCAGACTGGCACATTAAATCGGTCTGAAATCAACTGTGCTTACAAATGGCCCATAAAATCTGTGTAGCTGGAAGCCACTTACCCACTTGTTAGTGCTCCTTTTAACACCCAAGTTACTTTCTTGTTCCAGATAATTTTACATTGAAGTTTGTATCATTTTTAGATGGGATATTTGTGGAGTGAACACTTGTTTGGCCAGTAAAAAAAATGCTTGCAGAACTGCCAGTAGCGCAAATGCTGAATTAGGTGCAGATAATGAATTTTTCTTTCTCTTATGGCGTTGTCTGGCTATATATAGGCACAGCATCCTTCCAACAGATGGCTGCTAGGGTCTGTCGTGACGTTAACAGGAGAGTGTAGTTGGAGTTAGGTGTACAGTTTTGCTTCTTTAATGCCACGTGCAGACTCTGAAGGTAGTAGATTCTCATGATCACATATGCTACACACAGCAGTATTACATCATTTCCATTATAGTCCAAAGTAACCCTGAGCAGGAAGCCTACTGATAGACGAGGTATACAGTGTAAGCAGGAGATAACCATAGGTCATCTCCACAGGCAGATGGAGCCAACCTGTAGGTGAGGTCTTCAAAAAGCACAGGAACTCTGGTGTAAGAACACTACTAAGTGTAGGATGGCAGTCAGTGAATAAAACTCAAGTGCTTTTGTATTCTCACAAAAATTGCATTTCTTGCCAGTCTTGTGGATAGGT